CCAGGAAGGGGAGTGTGACCACTAAAGGGGTGTGGGGTGCACCAAGGGACAGGGAGGGAATGGGAGAGAAACACCAAGAGACAGGGAAAAGAGGGGGGAGGGGAGAAGAACACTAAGGGGAAGGGAAGGGACTACTAATGGTCAGGGAGGGGAGAGGGGCTGGTTAAGAGGCACATAGGTGAAGATGTTTTTTTTCGGGGGGGTGCGGGGGGGCGGAAAAAGGCATCTTCGCCTATGTACCTAAAAATCCAAGCACCGGCCCTGCTCACGTGTGCTGGGGGTGTAACTAGCCACCCAGGGACAAAGGTGCAAACATCTCTGAATGTGCACATGCAGACTCCAACCACCATGACCACTTCTAAAAGCAGAAGTGGTCACGGTGAGAGGAGTGTCCCTTTAACCTTTTAATTTCCAGAAGATATGCAATGCCTTTCTCTTGAAAGGTTTAAAAACCTACATAACAGGTTTTCATCCACAGCGTCCATGTTGAGATAATTTTTCTATTTTGTTTTCAGACATGTCCTTGGTCCAGCTACCTCACAGGCGCCTGCAATCCAGATTTCACTAAACATCCTATCAGACAGTAAGTACTTTCCATCTGTGCAGGTATGGGTGCTGGACTGCAACTCCCATAGTTCTCTGTGAAGCTTGAAATGGCAGAGAATGATGGGAAATGTAGTCTGCTAACATGGCCATATGTTAAAGCATGAGCCGTTTCATTGACATCTACGATATTAAGAAATGGGTGAATGTAAGAGCTTTAGACCTAGGTCATACAGAATATCTAACAGAAAATGTAAACAAGGTAATTATAGTTATATGTCTGTGCATTCTAGAATACTGAGCATTGCTTAACCCTATAAACTCATACTCCAAGAATATATATTGCCAGATTTATAAAGGCGCCATTGTGCCTCCGGCTAAACATTCACTTTATTAGTTATGTGAACGAGCTTTGCAGCTGTTGTGAGGTACCTTAGTTTATGTCTTTGGGGTCGTAAAATAAGGAGCAATTGAAACCTTGACTCTACATTTGCTACTGCAGTCAGTATATTTAATTTACTTGGAGGATTCTGGGAGATGCAAAATCTGAAGAAAAAAAATAAATAACTAAAATATGAATCTCACGTAGTGTAACAAAGTAACAATTTGATTATATGAATGCACGAGATATCAATCTTTAATATACTTGTAAGTACAGTGCCCCCTACTGTTTTAGTGGCACAACATTCTTGTATGTACATTTTTGTCATAGGAACCTGTTATTAACCAACAGATCCCCTCAACGGATGTGAGTGATAGAATGTTTGCCGAAAAATCTTTGGAATGCTCTTCTGAGTTAACGTGGACAAACATTTAAATTGTGTTTTTTTTTTTAATCATGTAATATGAAAGATGCATGACAATTAAACATTTTTCAGTGAAACAATTGCAATTTCAGGGCCGCTACTATTTTTCTATACTACACTTATGGCAGTTTAAAAATATTTTAGTATAATTAATATCGGGCAACTGTTTATGCAAAGGTTATTTATCAAACATACCTTATTTACCATGACAATTCTTGCTCCAGTTATTACAGAAGTTACATTTTAAAATGAGCAGCAATCCAGGAAGTGTTCAGGTGTGTTCTGGTTCGTTGTTTTGTTATTATTGTAAGGTTTATGTTGGTTTATGTTGTGAGTCACAACTTAACCATTCCAAAGGAGGAATTCGGTTCGGACTATATATTTTCCTTCCATTTTTACTTCCCTATCCACAGATTTAAGCAAGACCGGGCAAACTATTCTATAAACACTGATGACCCTCTCATATTTGGATCAACCCTAGATGTCGATTATTCGATTGCAAATAAGCACATGGAGTTTACAGAGGAAGAGTTCAAGCGAGTGGTAAGTTTACAACAGGACTATTTTTTTCACTATTTAGTAAATTACGGATATCATACAAATAGAGACATGTAGTACAATATAGACAAGCTGGGGAATAAAAAGAATTTTAAAAAACTCAATTATATTAGGTTTAAACGTGTCTTTATTGCATTCTTGTTGTTACCTGTTTTATACACAATAACTTATCGGGTTTTTTGTTTGTTTTTTAGAACATTAATGCTGCAAAATCATGTTTTCTACCAGAAAAAGAGAAGAAGGAACTGCTCCATAAACTGTATGAAGCTTATGGAATGGTTATCACAACTGGATTATAATCAGCAGTAACTCAGCAAGTCACTCCAGTTTTGTCCAGTCCTCATTTACCATAATGACGTTTCTTTTCTTTCCGTTGGACACTTTGACCCATGACTGCTTCTTGGTGTAGCCAAATTATCCTTATTAACGGACTAAACACATGAGATGAATGAGCTTTTTATCTGGTTCTACAAGGGGATCAAACCGACGTGTGAAAGCTAAATCAAAATAATTAACAATCTGAAGTGAAGAACAGTTCGAGTCATTTGAGCCAATCTTTGAACCCATTGCATTTAGAGAAAAAAAAAAATATATATATATATATATATATATATATATATATATAAAAGAACAGCCTCCTTCCTCCCCCCCAAAAAATATAAATAAAACTGGGAGTGGACAACTGAACTGCAAATATTAGGCCAGAGTCTGAAAATGTTTCTAATTCAGTTAGTGTGGGAGGGCAAAACTCTTCAAACTGTCCAATTACAACCCATACATTGAAGTTTTTTGGGGGGTTTTTTGGCCACCACTGTAACTATGTTTTGAAAAAACATGCTTATCTTGACTTTTACAGAAACTCTTTAATTTAACATATTCCATTGTGAATTTTAAACAACTACAGACACTGGTAGAGTGGGAGTCAAAGACATAGTTTTAAGGGTACTTGGCATGTCTGGTACATCTTTGGACATTCTAAAGAGCATAACATTCAGTCTATACATTGTGCCAGTCAGTCAATTCTTCGGCCAAATTTTATGGCCAAAGACTTGACTAACAAGAGAGAGCAGAAACAACCACCCACAGACAGACAGTCCTGCTCTTCATACATAGCAACCACAGAACATGCGCTGTGGTTGCTATGGTAACCCCCTAGCAAAACTGCTAGCACTGGCTAGGGAGTCAGACCACGCAGATCCCGGAATGCTGGCAACAAAGCCCGCATGTCTGAGTCACAGAGGAGGTTGTCCCTGCTTAGAGAAGCTTCCCTAAGCAGGGCAAATCACAATAGACTGCAGGTGGAGCAAAGGATGGACGGAGGTGGGTTTTACAGAATAGTAATATCAACAAAGCTGATGAAATGGCGAAGATGAATCAGAGGTAATGTGAAGATATCTCAAAATTTTACATTGAATTCAGTACGTATCTCTGCTTTATAATGTATTCAATGTATTGTAAAAACAAAACCACAAACAAACTAACTGGTTTACTTTAACAGGAACCAATATTATAAATAGTTTTAAAGGGATACTCCAAGGCAGAATTATTACCGCTTTTGTATGCATCTAACGGATAAATAATATATTTTTTTGCATTACGTCCTATCGTATATACTCTTCCATTTTTTGCATAAAATGCCGAAGGCCACTTTAACATCATCACTGTAGCTTATATATGTAATTACAGTGCGAAGAATAGCATGTCATGATTAGGTATTATAAATCCTGGTTTCTCTTAACCGTTCGCAAAATGTATGGACGGAAACTACAAAGAGGACGCTAGCAGAGTAAGGTGCTGGTTTCTATCCTGCATTTTGTCGGTCACAGTTCTTATTTGTGTTAAGTCTCAGGAATAGAGTAATGGATGTGCTTCCAAGCCTCGTCAGGGCCAAAAGAAAAATAAACCAGCGGAAGACTGACAAAACAAAAAATGGAGCCCTCTTTAATATTTTAATAGTTCAGTGTAGTCATGGGAGAAGTGAGTACCTATGGTCATCACCCATCATCGCCCAGAATCAGGCTGCCTTTGAAGGAACAAAATACCAAAAACAAATGTATCTTGTGAGCCTCAAGTAATAAAGATGACTTTTGAACCACATACAAAGTCAAATGCAATATTCCCAACTATACAATGAACATCATGTTCCTTCAGTGACATTTTATGTACCTAGCACATGGATGTGTTTAAAGGACCAACATGTAGCGACAGGGACATCTTTAAAAGGGCAATAATTACATCATAAATACCTACTGCAATGAACTGAGATTACAGCTGAAAGCAGGTTTGACGTCACATACATTCTTCATAAGTGTTAAAAGCTAGAATATTGTAGGAAAAACATAATCTACATGTGTTTATAGCAAACATGTCCGATAATAAGTTTTCAGGTTGGATCGCTAATACGCGGTCTAACAGTAGGTCTTCAACTCAGGAGAACCAGTGGTTGATAATTTGTTCAGTTCAACATAGTGGACACCTTGTGTCCATATTCCTAGAAGAATTAAAAGGTATAGTAATATCTTTAAAAAAAAAAAAATCAAAAAAAAAAAAAAACTGTCCGCAAGCCTTATAAAAGACAGAAGAACTCAGTTGAGGATTTACCTCTGCGTTATTAGAAAGTATTCTTGTGTTTACTAATTCCTTTGTTTCCTCTAAAACGTTATTTAGACTTTAAAGTAAGGGTTTTGAAATACGCAGCAGTTTTCCTGGTCTGCAACAGAGACTCTTTATAACTTCAGCTCAAATTAAAACTCTTGACATCAAAGAAAACAAATTGTATTATGCAATAAAATTGAAATCTGATTGCGTTGCTTGTTTTTAAGTGCTAATTTGATTTATCTAATAACTTTGTAGTGTGATGGCTTTAGAAGCTAGTGGAATTTATGATTAAAATGATATTAAAAAAGCCACACCCTTTAAAAACACCACTCACCTCTTGACTTGACCGATCTGAAAACCAAGTTTGGTAAATGCAAAAGTTTACATATGAACCACTCTTCCGTTAATTGACAAGGTTGGATACATGGGATATAGTGTTAGATAGCCAAACAGAGCAGATGCCAGAACAGCATTGTCATGAACATCGTAAGTGTACAAAAACAAGGAATGGAGATGTAGACTTCAAATTCAGTTTGACAAATAATAAAGAACTTAAATTAGAATTGAAGACAGACCCCAGTCGTAAGATTTGTCAATATTTTGGTTAGGCCTTATTACCTTTTCAATGGATCTCTGATTATGCAAGGTCTGGTTTGGCAAGGTACAGTAGACTTCGAGGCATTAATCTGAAATGTAACTCCATGGTAAGACAAGATGGCATTGCACAGAATGTAGCTGATCTTTGATGAAGATAGGCTACTGGCATGGTCCAGCGCTTTGAGCATCAGTTTCAACCATCTGTTCCAACTCAAAATTGTATTTCTCCTGGCTTATGTTAAGACTTGAGTGTATTTGACCTAGTGTCCTGTTAGAGTCTTTGGCCTACTAATAATTCAGTATAGAAATGAAATCAATTTGACAATATTAGACCAATTCTACTACAGACTGTAGTTGTGTGTGGCCTCATTGTGCTGTAATATTTGGCTAAATCATATTTCCATCCAGCTTAGAGTCCGTATTTCTAGCATTTTTCCTAATGCTGCCCTTGATAAATTCTCAATACGCCAGCCATGGCTGAATTTTAACTTGACATTGGCAAGTATTTTGGATTTGCATTCTTTTCATAGTTTATAAAAAACTGAATTTACAGACAGACAGATACACTTTGGTTAATTATTCACAACTCAGCTGGTTTTTTTATTAAAGGACTCATCCATTCAAAAAAGTTATTCAGTCAACTAAATGTTTGTCATAATAAAGAAATAAAAATGTCAAAAAACCAACAACACGCACACACACAAAAAAAAACCCCAAAACCCTCTTGTTTCGAGCATTCATTACATGTAAATTTAAGGGCAAATTCTACAAAACAGTATTTTATATTTAAAAAACAAAACAAAAACACAAACAAAATTGGATGTTTTGAATCAAAAGAAAATATATAAACAGAACTTAGTTGATGGTGTGGTGTCTACAGAAGCAATTATCTTAAAGTAAACAAAAAAAGTATATAAAAGGGGACACACAGGTGCTAAAAATCAAGAAGGTAGCACTATACACCTCTAATTCAATATAGTGCAGAAACCAATAACGCTGTGACCATACAATCAGTGAATAAAGAGTAAAAAAAAAGATCGGTGCACAAACATCAAGTCATAAATACAAAACCAATGTCTTCACAAATATTAAAATACACATAGTGCAGATCAATAAAAAGAAATTTTAATCAGTATTGCCCCCAGGAAGGATCAAGTCCATAGGGAGTGTAGGATGCCCAATCTTACCACAATTATCCACACCAAAAGAGAGAGCCAATCTGAAGAATGTGTACAGAAAAAAAACAAAAAACGTTATTTGCACTTATGCCAACACCACTGTTAAACCTAAATAAAAGTTACATTTGGAGTAAATGTTCCCTAGCAAATTTCTGTATCAAACAAACTATAATCGCAAATCTTGCCGTCTTTCACTCCTTCCAACGCATTTCACCCCTCCTACTTGCGCTTTAAGTGCATCACAAATGTATACAGATTAATTTCACTGTTCCTCTCCGTCATTGGTGCATTGTTCAATGCTACACTTTATTGAAATAGATGTGCATAGTGCTACTTATATATTTTTAGTGCCTGTCCCCTTAAGTGTATATATATATATATATATATATATATATATATATATATATATATATATATATATATATATATTTACTTTTGGTGTTGGTACTGTGAAACAAATTGAGGGGAGTGCTACACATAATTTATCGGTGTTCTAATACATTCATTTTTGACAAGGATGAGGAGGCAAAGGTGGAACAAGAAGAAAGATAGGGGAGGATATTGATCTCATTGTTAATGAAACTTAAATTATTGGGGTTAGAAATGAAATCTAGAGAGGGAAGTAAAATATACATTTAAGAAATACAAAAAAAATATTTTTTTTAAAAAGGAAAAATTACGAGAGTAAAATATCTGAAGGGTTCATAGGATACAAGAGAGACAAATTATATAGATAGAAATTAAAAAAGAAAAAACACAATATGATAAAGTAAAACAGATAAAAGAAACATCAAATGATATGATTAAGTGATAAAAACATGTCAAGACCCAATAGAGATAAATTCAGAGGAGATAAATAGAGAGAAAAAAAAATCTCTGATTCTAATGGACCTTATCAATCCACAGTATGTTATGAATAGAAATCTGTATGAAGTTTTAAGAGGAAGAGAGGAAAGTAATGATTTTTTTAGAGAAACGGACGACTGGCTGGGGAACTACAAGGAAGAGAGGAAGTAATTAAAGTATCGAGGAAATAGAGGAGGAAGACAAAATAACAGGCAGGAAAACGAGAGGAAACAAAACCTTTGGGTATAAATAATGTGTCCTCCTATGAATTAAGTAATAAACAGATTTTAGTATTAAATAAAGGGTTTGAAGTTTGCACCGTCCAGAATTTTAACTGTTTTAACGCATATATTGATTTTTTTTAAAGTATGGTAGGTATCTATCCTTGAACAATTTCTAATATACTATAAATTCACCAGATATAAAATTAGAACAGAGATTTTATTTTTAAGGTATTAAATGGACTTTAAATCATAATTATTTTTATATGTAGTGAAAAAGAGCAAGATTTTTATGATTTATTTAAACATATTAAGTTAGAATGGTAGGGGCGTTCAACTAACCAGTCGTGTGCGTAAGCAGGAACTAGATCTATATAGAGATCAGGAGATTAAAAACTAAAACCCATTTTTTATTAAAGTGGATGTGAATGAAAATTTCCTGTACAATAGGGGACATTATTCTCCGTTGCTAAATAACATACCAAAGGGTCAATGTTTGCATTTAAAAAGGAATTGTATTAATGAAAAGGTTTTTAATATACAGGTCTGTGAGTTATTCAAGATAAGAGAAACATTATCCCATTCTTGAGAACAAAGTAAATAGATAAACCGAACGAATGAAGCTTCCAAGAATTGCCCCCGGAAAACTATTAATACAGTGATATATTAATATAGTAACAGAATGTGATTAGTAACAATAAAATAATGGAGGGAGATAAAAAAAAAACATCACAGTGTATGTGGGTAGAACACCTAGACCTTTACATAAAAGAATATCTGGGGAACCAACTACATATTAAAGGGACACTATAGTCACCAGAACAACTACACCTTATTGCATTTGTTCTGGGGAGTATAGTCAGTCCCTGCAGTCTTTTTGCTGTAAACACTGCCTTTACAGACAAAATGCAGTGTTTACATAGCCCAATAGGAAAACCTACAATGGCCACTCCTCAGATGGCTACTAGAGGTGTTTCCTTAGGCAGTGCTGCGACATTTAGCATCTCCAACCTCTCCATGGAGACACTGAACCTTCCTCATATGATGGCTGATTGGCCAGGGTGGTGTTTGGCTCTGCCCCCTGGCCCGCCTACTTGAATGAGATCATCAGAATTGACAATCTCAGCCAATCCAATGCTTTCCTATGGAAAAGCATTGTGATTGGCTGAGATCATCACTTCTGATGTCTGCCAAGGAGGCAGATCAAGGGCAGAAACAGCACCAGCAGACTGGAATCAAGGTAAGATTTTACTATATTTAGTGGGGCAAAGGGGGGTTACATAGTAATATTAACATTATAAGGTCAGGAATGCATGTTTGCGTTCTGACCCTATAGTGTTCATTTAATGTCTATGTATTTAGAATGCAATGTCATAAAAGTCCCTGTTGGTGTTCCAATACATATATATCGCAAGCAATTTGTATTTTATATTTTAGAATTGTAATTGTATTCTACAGAACATAAATGGAGTTAGAACCAATACATTTTTCACTTTACAGAGGAACACTTTTTTTTGTGCCCCTTCACTGGTCTACAAGTATGATAAGAAAGCGGAACTTACTTGTGATCTCTCTCCTTTGGAAATCTCTCTGGGAGGCTGCTACTTTCAAATCGTCACGGAGTATCCTATTAGACAGTGTGTGTCACTTGCCATGGGCAAATATTTTGGCTTTGCATTCTTTCAATAGTTTATTAAAAACTGAATTTACACATACAGATACACTCTGGTTACTTATTCACAACTCAACTGTTTTTTTTATTAAATGACTCAAAAAAATCAAACAAAACCAAGTTGTTCAGCCAACTAAATATTTGTTAAAAAAAAAAAAAATCACACACAAAAAAAAATAAAAAATCAACAACTCCTTCTTCGAGCATTCATTACACGTAGAATTTAAGGGCAAATTCTACAAAACAGTACATTTATATATTAAAAAAAAAATACAAACAAAATTGGATGTTTAAAATCAAAGGAAAAAATATATTTAGAATCTGTTTTTTTTTTTTTTAAATGACTCATCCAATCAAACAAAACCAAGTTCTTCAGCCAACTAAATATTTCTCCTAAAAAAAGAAAAAACAAAATGTAAAAAAAATCCTCTTCCTTTGAGCATTCAATATACATAGAATTTAAGGGTGTTTTATACACAACAGTACTTGGAAGAAAAAAAAAAAGACACATACAAAGCTGGATATTTAAAAACCAAAGAAAAACAAAAAAACAGGACAGTTGATGGTGTGGTGTTATTTTTATTTTCTTTCCCTGTACTTTTAGTAACCTGGTTCGTATGTAGATTTTAATTTATTTTTACATTTTAGGTAATCTGCCTCTTTGATTTGTCCATGTGTCGTTCTTGCTTTTTTAAATTTTTATTTTATTAATTTTTTTTTTTTGTTTTTAAAGGTATTTTGATCTTTATATTAAGAGAAGATCAAAATGCTTATAAAATATAACAAAGATTTTTGGCAGCATCTCTCTCTATAATATTGGTGTATGTTTGAATGTCAGAGTAGTGAGATACTGTTGATTTATAGGTCTCGTAATTCTGTATTCTTCTCTATACTGATTTATGCTTTTGTTATTGTGCAATTAAGATTTTACGATCATTGTTACCTTGACAGATCATTTGTATTTTTTGATGTTGCACCAAAGAGGGAGAAGAACAGTTAATTTACACTGTATACATTTGTGCTAGTGAGGACGTAATCCGATTGACAAAGCCCTAGGAAGAGGTGCGAAACGCGTTGCATGATAAGTCACCACGCTGATTCAGAAGGAGGAGCAAATGAAATGGCGGCACAGTTTGTTCGCTACAGAGCTTTGCTTGGGAACATTTTTCTCTGGATCGGCCCTCTTATTTGGAGTGGATTAGGGTGATAAAATTGAGTATCCAACGCTCCCTATGGACCTGACCCTCCCTGAGTGCAATAGTGTTTGAGTAACATTCCATTGGAGTGAGTTTCTTACCATATTTTACGTGACTTGGATTTTATTGATCTGCACTATGTGTATTTTATTAATTTTTTAGGCAATATTTGTGAAGACATTGGTATTGTATTTTTATGATGTTTGAGAAGCCATTATCTGCTTGGTTTGACTTGATAACACAAACACGTTTGGTCCACTCGAATCCCATAAGGCAGTGCTGGGAAAGATCCATCAGAAACAGGGTAGTAATGCTCCTCCACAGTTAGTTGTGAATTGTCCACCATGTTAAAAAAAAATAAAATATCAACAACATGAACTGCCCTTTTGAAAATGCTGAATAAATTATAATTCAATGTTTACAAAATTAGAAGGGTGAACGAAAATGTACCTTGAATAAAACACCAAAATGTTGAAGAATTTGCATATTTCCTTTTTCTATAAAGGATAAATAAAAATCGCTAAGGCATTTTAGGTTAGGTGGACTTATAAAAGATGCGTTGAATATGTTTGATCCACCGTTAATGTTCATGGGTCCTTCATCGTTCGTTATGCATCGTTCGGTATGCTGTAGGCATCTGCGTGAACTGTACTTGTGAATCCTGCTTCTCGGTCTTCAGAAGCGCTTCATAGACAATTCACCAATTGAAGACATTTACTCTTTCTCTTGAAAACGTCAGTTCATGTGCTTGTTCATATGACAAATGCATAATTCACGACGGTGAGCTGCCGTCTTGTGCTTTTTTACTCTGGTCTTGTCCACTATCTGAAGACGTTGCTCTCTCTTGACCTCCTAAGAAATACAAAGCATTTGTGAAAGAACTTTGATATTAAGATGCACAAGAGACACTGGCTTGATTCTATGGTCAAAAAGATACACTTCTCTATCGAGCACTTATCCCAAGGATCTCATCATGAGGATTGTTACTGATCTAAGAGTGTTCGATGTTTCTTGTCATTGTGTCCAGCATCTTGTATGACAGGGCTCGACAAATCTCAGGCGCTAGGTCGCCATGGCGACTAAACATTTTGCCCTGACACCTGGGATTTGTCAGCTTTTTATCTAAAATGGCCGGCTGGACAAATAATGGAGCCGGCTGTCCACCCTCGGAAGCATGTAGGTGGCCGGCTGAGAGAGCAATGTAGCCAGCAGCCCTGCGCTCTATGGAGGCGGCTGGCTGAGTTAGCATTGTAGCCGGCCACCCTGGGCTTTATGGAGGCGGCTGGCTAAGTGCAGCATCAAGGTGGTCGGCTGGGGAAGCGTGCAAGGGAGCAGTGATCTTTCAGCGGCTCCTCTCTGCTCCCTTGCACTGTTTAATGATGCCGGGAGCCGGAATATGACGTCATTCTGGCCCCGGCATCACAGGGAGCAGAGAGTAGCTGCACGGTAGATTACTGCTCCCCCTCACAGAGGAAGAGAGAGCAGCCCCACTGGACCCCAGGGAAAGTCCACTCAGCTCTCCCAAAGTTAGGCAGGCTAAATGGATTAAAATTATAAAAAAGGAAATTTGTGAGTGTTTGAGAAAGTATATGTGTGTATGTCTGTCAGTATATGTGTGTGTCTCTGTCAGAGAGTGTCTGTTTAGGTACCTTCCCCCCTCCGATCACGATTGGTGTTTTTACTCACCCTTTTTCCCCCCACGCTGTACAGGTAAAGCCGTGGCTTGTCCCTCCTCCATTGCAGAGTTCATCAATCTTTATGATCTCAGCTAAGCCAATGCTTTCCCATAGGAAAGCATTGGGAGGATATTGCGCTTGTGCTGTATGGGTAACATTCAGCGCCTCCATGCGGAGCACTGACACAGGACTCTCTAGTGGCCGTCTGAGTGACAGCAAGTAGAAGTCTTAGTAGGCAGCAATGTAAACACTGCCATTTCTCTGAAAATGCAGCGTTTACATTGAAAAGGCTACAGGCACAGGCTATGGGCACCGGAACCACTACATTAAGCTGTAGTGGATCTGGTGACTACAGTGCTGGCTCCTAGATTCCAAACAAATTTGTCAAGCCCTGTTGTATGAAGACACTGGTAGTTATATAAAACTGATGCCATCTTTAAACAATCAGAATAATTTATTTGGTGACATTTTTACCTGTGCGTCTATACAGTATGTCTAAAAGGGACTTTATACGAGAAAACAAATGGGCCAGATTGAATTGAACCTTTTCCTATAGTGCAGAGGACACCAGGATAACCGAGAAATGGTTTCATAAATAAAAAAATACTTTTACATTATTTCTTTCTACTGTACTTCCACAGAGGAATATGGAACTGGTGGGAATCACTTTATAGTTAAGCACCAACACAAATTATGTCATCATTAAAATTTTTTATACATAACCCCGATTATTCGGAAGTACATTGCAGTTGGAATAAAGGCATTGGTCATCTTAGCCAAAAGGGATAGAGTCTACAACGGACAAAACGCTCTATACACATCCTTCTAACTTTGCTCAGAGGATTATCTGGTAGCGGGGTAGGGCCTCTCCTTCTAAAAATGTACTCATGCTTTGCTTGCTGGAAACAGGAACCAACCCAGGACCTTAAAATCAGGACTGTGCTACCAGTTTCGGGACTGTTGGAAGGTATGCATACATGGTATGCAAACAGTAAGCATTGATAATGTCATTTATCCCTCACCTGATTCTTGTATATTCAGGTCTCCCATGTTTTCCGAAAGATCCCCCTCACATGTCGTACATTCATCCTTGATGTCGGGAACAGCATTCCTTCTACCGGTTCGATCGCAGGTTATAAATTCAGTGTACGCAGACTCCACGTCCATCATTTCAAGTTCATATCAAAGTTATATGATCTGAAATAACAAAACCAACATTTAAAAAAAGAAATCTATATATATATATATATATATATATAATTTATCATAAGGCTAACTACTACAATGAGTTGTAGTGGTTATGGTGCTAAGATTGTGAATACATTAACCCTACACCCACAGCCTATTTCCCTGGACACTTAGTTTCCTCATGGTAAAGCCAGCGCATGAAAGGTGCAGCCCCACAGTATATATCATGCATGTGCTACAAAATTACATTCAGCAGCGTCTGAATGCTATATACCACAGGGCAACACTTTTCATGTGCTGCCAATCAGTGTGCATGAGTGATGTGTGTCCAGGAAAAGTGGTGGATCTGGCAGCCCTATTTATTTTTTATTTTTTTTAATTTAAATTGGATTTCTTTTAATAAAATTGTGCTTGGGGGAACGGTTTTGGATCTTAAATCTCTATTAATTTGCAAGCTTAGAAATTAAGTCACTGAAATATCACAATATCATCTGACTTACAACGTCAAACATTATTAGACAAGGCCGCGAAGCAAAAATTCAAATTCAATAGTACCTAATAAAACTAACCAAAGATATATTTAATTATGCATTTTTGTTTTAATGGGGTATATCTAAAAACAGCATGCAGAAGCAGCAGATCTCTTAGCTGCAGCCTTTCTAAGCCCTCCCCTTCTAACCACGCCCAGAGTTTATGTGACTGTCCAATCAAATACTTCCCTATGCAGCTCAATGTCTTTGCAAGGCAGGTGCTCTGGGCAACTGCTGCCCCTTGAGTTTAGTTCCACTGAGCGAATAAAACCAGGAAGTAACAGGACCTGTTGTCTGATTGGCAGCCAGGAGGGTGTAACAAGGTTAATTTATAAAAGTGTAAAATTTCTATTGAAATCTGCACTTTTTCTAAAACAAATTAATAAATTGGAGGACATATGTTAATATACAAGGACTGTCCAACCCACATAGGGACAGTTGGGAGGTATGAATATAATAATTTGTGTATACACACACACACACATACACACACACCTAGATCGTAATGCTTGAAGGTTCACAATTTTTTCAGGAAAGTATACAACACCCTCTTTTCAGTCAATGTTTTAGTCCAGATTTAGGACATTTATATATTTTTAACATAAATTCTTGTATTTTTTCTTTTAGTTTTTAAAGGACTTAAAGGAATAAAAAAAAAAAGTTGTGCTGTTTATTTTTATAGAATTTGTAAACATATTTAAAATTTTAAAAGTTTTAAATTTGCGAAACATGTAGGGTGTCTTTCTGCCTAATTTACTATACAAAAATGTTAGTCACATGACCATTCGTGACATCATAACACAGGTATGACACGTTGATGACATCACAATAGAACAGTTATCTTCAAGGTTTAGACTCATCTCGGTTTCTTCTTTCAGTGCAGATGATTTACCAGTCTCCTTGTTTTATATTCAATCTTCATCTCTGTGAAACCATGAACCATAAGTTTCCAACAAGTTTCTGGAGAAGAAATATTGCAGCTCTTCTAATGTGAATTGTAACCAAAACAAATCGACTACAGAGGATCCGTTCGTGGGTAAGAAAAAAGAATGAAAGGAGAAGAAATGAACAATCTCAAGAATATCCACGTATTTTACCTTTCATATTCAGATATACACTCTGTATTGCACCAATCATATTAGAGTGTGAGCTCTGTGAGCCAGGACCTTATTCTCTGTATTGTACTGTTTATATTAGATTGTAAGCTCTGTGAGCAAGGACCTCATTCTCTGTAATGTAACATTCATATTAGAGTGTGAGCTCTGTGAGCCAGGACCTTATTCTCTGTATTGTACTGTTTATATTAGATTGTAAGCTCTGTGAGCAAGGACCTCATTCTCTGTAATGTAACATTCATATTAGAGTGTGAGCTCTGTGAGCCAGGACCTTATTCTCTGTATTGTACTGTTTATATTAGATTGTAAGCTCTGTGAGCAAGGACCTCATTCTCTGTAATGTAACATTCATATTAGAGTGTGAGCTCTGTGAGCCAGGACCTTATTCTCTGTATTGTACTGTTTATATTAGATTGTAAGCTCTGTGAGCAAGGACCTCCCTCTTTGTATTGTACTGTTCATTTTATATTGTAAGCTCTGTGATCAAGCACCTCCCTTTACTGTACTGTTTATATTAGACTGTAAGCTATGTGAGCAAGGGCCTCCCTCTCTATATTGTACTGTTCATATTAGACAGTAAGCTCTGTGAGCAAGGACTTCCCTCTCTGTATTGTACTGTTTATATTAGACTTTAAGCTCTGTGAGCCAGGACCTCACTCTGTATTGTACTGCTCATATTAGATTGTAAGCTCTGTGAGCAAGGACCTCCCTCTCTGTATTGTACTGTTCATTTTATATTGTAAGCCCTGTGAGCAAGGACCTCCATCTCTGTATTGTACTGTTGATATTTGATTGTAAGCTCTGTGAGCAAGGACCTCCATCTCTGTATTGTACTGTTCATATTAGATTGTAAGCTCTGTGAGCAAGGACCTCCATCTCTGTATTGTAATGTTCATATTAGATTGTAAGCTCTGTGAGCAAGGACTTCCATCTCTGTATTGTACTGTTCATTTTATATTGTAAGCTCTGTGATCAAGCACCTCCCTTTACTGTACTGTTTATATTAGACTGTAAGCTATGTGAGCAAGGGCCTCCCTCTCTGTATTGTACTGTTCATATTAGATTGTAAGCTCTGTGAGCAAGGACCTCCCTCTCTGTAGTGTACTGTTCATATTAGATTGTAAGCTCTGTGAGCAAGGGCCTCCCTCTCTGTAGTGTACTGTTCATATTAGATTGTAAGCTCTGTGAGCAAGGACCTCCCTCTCTGTATTGTACTGCTCCTATTAGATGGCAAGCTCTGTGAGCAAGAGCCTCCCTCTATGTATTGTACAGTTCATGTTAGATTGTAAGCTCTGTGATCAAGCACCTCCCTTTACTGTAATGTTTATATCAGACTGTAAGCTATGTGAGCAAGGACCTCCCTCTCTGTATTGTACTGTTCATATTATATTGTAAGCTCTGTGAGCAAGCACCTCCCTTTACTGTACTGTTCATATCAGACTGTAAGCTATGTGAGCAAGGACCTCCCTCTCTGTATTTTACTGTTTATATTAGACTGTAAGCTCTGTGAGCCAGGAACTCACTCTCTGTATTGTACTGTTCATATTAGAGTGTAAGCTCTGTGAGCAAGGAACCCATTCTCTGTATTGTACTGTTCATATTAGATTGTAAGCTCTGTGAGCCAGGACCTCATTATCTGTATTGTACTATTAATATTAGATTGTAAGCTCTGTGAGCAAGGACCTAATTCTCTGTATTGTACAGTTCAAATTAGAATGTAAGCTCTGTGAGCAAGGACCTCATTCTCTGTATTGTACTGTTCATATTAGATTGTAAGCTCTGTTAGCAAGGACCTCATTCTCTGTATTGTACTGTTCATATTAGATTGTAAGCTCTGTGAGCAAGAACCTCCCTCTCTGTATTGTACTGTTCATATTAGATTGTAAGCTCTGTTAGCAAGGACCTCATTCTCTGTATTGTACTGTTCATATTAGATTGTAAGCTCTGTGATCAAGCACCTCCCTTTACTGTACTGTTTATGTTAGACTGTAAGCTCTGTGAGCAAGGACCTCGCTCTCTTTATTGTACTGTTCATATTATATTGTAAGCTCTGTGAGCAAGCACCTCCCTTTACTGTACTGTTCATATCCGACTGTAAGCTATGTGAGCAAGGACCTCCCTCTCTGTATTTTACTGTTTATATTAGACTGTAAGCTCTGTGAGCCAGGAACTCACTCTCTGAATTGTACTGTTCATATTAGAGTGTAAGCTCTGTGAGCAAGGAACCCATTCTCTGTAGTGTACTGTTCATATTAGATTGTAAGCTCTGTGAGCAAGGACCTCCCTCTCTGTAGTGTACTGTTCATATAAGATTGTAAGCTCTGTGAGCAAGGACCTCCCTCTCTGTAGTGTACTGTTCATATTATATTGTAAGCTCTGTGAGCAAGGACCTCCCTCTCTGTATTGTACTGCTCCTATTAGATGGCAAGCTCTGTGAGCAAGAGCCTCCCTCTATGTATTGTACAGTTCATGTTAGATTGTAAGCTCTGTGATCAAGCACCTCCCTTTACTGTAATGTTCATATCAGACTGTAAGTTATGTGAGCAAGGACCTTCCTCTCTGTATTTTACTGTTTATATTAGACTGTAAGCTCTGTGAGCCAGGAACTCACTCTCTGAATTGTACTGTTCATATTAGAGTGTAAGCTCTGTGAGCAAGGAACCCATTCTCTGTATTGTACTGTTCATATTAGTTTGTAAGCTCTGTGAGCCAGGACCTCATTATCTGTATTGTACTGTTCATATTAGATTGTAAGCTCTGTTAGCAAGGACCTCATTCTCTGTATTGTACTGTTCATATTAGATTGAAAGCTCTGTGATCAAGCACCTCCCTTTACTGTACTGTTTATGTTAGACTGTAAGCTCTGTGAGCAAGGACCTCGCTCTCTTTATTGTACTGTTCATATTATATTGTAAGCTCTGTGAGCAAGCACCTCCCTTTACTGTACTGTTCATATCAGACTGTAAGCTATGTGAGCAAGGACCTCCCTCTCTGTATTTTACTGTTTATATTAGACTGTAAGCTCTGTGAGCCAGGAACTCACTCTCTGTATTGTACTGTTCATATTAGATTGTAAGCTCTGTGAGCAAGGACCTCCCTCTCTGTATTGTACTGTTCATTTTATATTGTAAGCTCTGTGAGCAAGGACCTCCCTCTCTGTATTGTACTGTTCATTTTATATTGTAAGCCCTGTGAGCAAGGACCTCCATCTCTGTATTGTACTGTTGATATTTGATTGTAAGCTCTGTGAGCAAGGACCTCCATCTCTGTATTGTACTGTTCATATTAGATTGTAAGCTCTGTGAGCAAGGACCTCCATCTCTGTATTGTAATGTTC